CATGGATAGAGAACTGCCAGATCTGGAGATCTCTTGCATGTTTGGCATCTTTAATTTGCACAGGATCCATTCTATACAATCCTGACCCTCATGAACCTGTGCTTGTCATTTCCCCAGAAAATGCTTTCCTGGGGACACCTTCTTTGGGGGAGCCATAACTCGAACCCCATAAATTCAATCCTCACCAACCTTGGCATGTAGGTAGAGGAGGGTTAGCCGGATATCCCTTGTGAGTTTGGTGTCTCTATCATGCTGAGGGGTGTTCTACCATGTCACAAACCTCACAAATGAAACTGGTTTATTTGTGATGTTTCATGGTTCATGAAGCTGGCATACCATGAACCATACCACATTTTCCCAGTTCATGCCCATCACTACTCAACACCAGTTCTCTAGGTGAAATCCATCTGGTTGTCCTCATGAATTACCCCTGCATTGACCCATGTGGATCTATAAGAACCAGATCATCACTGAGACAGTACCCTAAGACCACAATTGTACCTTTAAAGATTGACTACCTCTTTCAATAGTCTTTCAGTAGTCATGTATGGCTGCGAGAGTTGGACTATAAGGAAGGCCGAGCGCCGAAGAATAGATTCTTTTGAACTATGGTGCTGGAGAAGACTCTTGAGAGTCCCTTGGACTGCAAGGAGATCAAATCAGTCAGTCCTAAAAGAAATCAATCCTGACTGTTCCCTGGAAGGCCAGATAATGAAACTGAAGCTCAAATACTTTGACCACCAAATGAGAAGGGAGCACTCACTGGAGAAGACCCTGATGCTGGGAAAGACTGAAGGTCAAAGAAGAAGGGAATGGCAAAGGATGAGATTGTTAGACAGTGTTATCGAGGCAACAAACATGAAATGAGGCAAACTCTGGAGCACGACGGAACGCAGGAGGGCCTGGCGTGATGTGGTCCATGGGGTTGCGAAGAGTCGGACTCGACTGTGCGACTGAACAACAACAACAACTAACAAAACAGCCCCCCCCCGAGCCCCAGATACCCACAGATCAATTCTCCATTATACCCTATGGGGACCAGTCTCCATAGCGGAGTGCACAGCAGCTATCCCCCCACTTTCTGATAGCCCTGAAGCAGGAGGAGGGGCTCCAAACTGGGGGACCCCCTGCCCCCAAGTGGGGATTGGCAACCCTACCTCTAAGCTTTTTCCGTCCAGCTCCCTTCTGTTTAGCATCCGAATTGCTGAAAGAATTACCTTCCATCATCCTTCCCCCTGTGGTCTTTAGCTTTTCACAGTCGGGGAAATGGCTGAAGGGCAATAATCCCCCCCCCCAGCAAAATTTTATTGGGAAACCCATACCTGTGATCAACCTTTCCAGGTTTCCTCCTCTTACTAACAGAAGATGGCTGCCAGCTCTTGAGTGCAAATTCTTCCCCCAGCTCAACCCTGTTTTCATTCTCTTGTGCAGGCCTGATTCTGATTAGCAGAGAAATTGAGGCTTTAAAGAGACTGTTAATTACGGTAGTTCACTGGGGTCTTGGTAGCCATCAGATGTCACCATCTGAGACAGTCCCTGATTCGTCAGTTTTACTTCCCCTCCCACCTTCCTAGGAAAGAAGAAAGATTGGCAAGCATGGTCGGTGGCGGCTTAGGGATCCATTGACCAATCAGGGACTCAGAAGGAGTCACAAGGGTGGCTCCTTGCCCAGGAAACTGGTTATACTTGGTGTGGATGGGCCTGGTTTAAAGAAGAAAAGGTTCTCTGGCTTTGCAGGGAGGGGGCTTCCTTGTAGGGTTGCCAACAGGGCTGGAGAAAAATGCCATCTCCCTATAGAGGTTTAATGTGTGGAAATAGGCATGAAGGTTTGCATGGCATCCAGGAAATAACATCACCTGGTAAATAACACTTCATCAAGCCTCTATCAAAAGGACAGGGCATTTTTCTCCAGCCCTGTTGGCAACCTTAATTACTGGGTCAAACAATGCCAAAAGTAGTTGACTCTCAAACAGGTCCCTCCAGCTGTTTCTTTAAGATAGGTTTAAGCTGCAGTTATCAGAGATGCTGTTTAGCTCCATGCCATGGAAAGATTCTATTGCCCATTTCTGCATGTTAAACCTCTGTTAAAGGGACAGGACATTCCCACCCCACCCCTTGCTAGCTGGCTGTCTTAAACAAGACAGTGGCTGACTGCAACGCTAACATGCTATGTGCCATTGGGTTGGTCCTGATAAAAGGTGTCATCACATGGTTCTTGGCCTTTTCTTTTGGACTGACACAAATGTAAACAACTTATCTATGTAGCTGGCAGCCTGCCAGTTCCTGGAGAGTTTGCTAAGGATCGGGGTGGGGCTTTCTTGTTTGTGGTGATACATATCAGTAGTGGGTACTGAGTGCCAGCACTTGGGGGGGGGGCTCTCTCAAGTCCTAAGGGGGGAATTGGTGGAAATCAGTGCAACCTGATATATAAGTACCAGCACCTTTTTAAAAACAGAAAAAGCACTGCTAAGGATGACGAAGAGGTAAGCAAGAGGTGGCTGTGGGGCAGTGCCTCATTTGCCCTAGTGGACCAGCCTCCATGGGTGCTGCACTGGTCTGTCATGAAGCTAAATCACAGCTCTGAGTATTTCATTTAGGAATGATGTGTCACACACACACGAAATAGTAACACGTTCCAGAAGATTTCTTTTGCATCAACAGAAATATAACAAGTGCACATTAGAGGTAACACTCTGATCTGTGTGATGCGCAGACTGAGAAGGTGGCAGGGTGGAGTTATGTAAAATTATATTCTCACATGCTAGTAAATGCAGTGTGCATTCTGTCACTTTGTACATGTTCCTGGCTCCCACAGCAAATCCTGCTTTTCAGTCCAAAACTGGGTCTGTCTCAGCTGTGCCGTGCTCTTTTGCTAAAATTCTAGCAGTAGAATGTACTAGACTATGTATGTTCAATATATCTGCTTTCTAGCTGATGGAACGTACAGTGGCTATTTGGGGGTGTGTGTGTTCATATTTCTCCTTTTCAAGGAAAAGACTCACAGATGTCCCATTTCCACATTCCTCTGTTGTCAGACTACCCATGTCCTGGATTTAAGTGATACCAAATTCTAAGTGAACTGGGAGGACCAAAAACGTCAATATCTTCATGAGCCAATCAGTTCAAATCACCTTAAGAACATAAGAAGAGTCCTGCTGGATCAGTCCAGGGAGTCCATCTAGTCCAGCATCCTGTCTCACACAGTGGCCAACCAGTTCCTCTGGAGGGCCAATAACAGGGCATAGAGGCCAAAGTCTTTCCCTGATGTTGCCTCCTGGCTCTGGGACTGAGGGGTGTAGTGCCTCTGAATGTGGAGGCTCCCCTCAGTCTCTGTGGCTCATAGCCATTGATAGACTTAGCCTCCATGAATCCATCTAATCCCCTTTTAAAGCTGTTTGTTTCTGTGGCCATCACTACACCCTCTGGCAGCAAATTCTACATATTATTTATTTATTTATTTTTAAATTTATATCCCGCCCTCCCCGAAGGCTCAGGGCGGCTTACGAGGGGCATAAATGCCGAAGTTAAAACAATAAAACAATACAAAACAGCATAAAATACAATAAATACAATTCACTACAAATTGATTCCACGGTGCTCCAAAAATATTCAACTATAGGTTCAAGATGGGGTTCCAAGACAACTTAGGCTAAGCAACAACAGTGATGATAATACTACACAGTAACAGCAATATGCCATACAGCGCTGCCATATGCCAGGAACGTCTCACGCCCCCTTGTCCACTCCAAAGATAGTCAATTTGCGGAATTAAGAGGAAAGGGGTGTGTGTGCAGATGGAATAATGATGGCGGATGATGGTGGCGGCGGCGGCGGCTCCTACTCGAAAGCCTGGCGGAAGAGCTCCGTTTTACAGGCCCTGCGGAACTGAACCAGGTCCCACAGGGCCCGGATCTCTTCTTATATTCACTCTCTGTATTAATATAAGCATGTGCGGAGACTTAGAGATGTTAACAAAAGGGGAGAGGGCTCTGTACAACTTTCTGCCTATTGGAATGCTAAATGTAACTGCAATGTTACATTTTATAAATGTATTCTATTGCTACCAAATGTGAACAGAGCCAATTTATGCAGATTTGGCCAGTTTCCTGGGCTAGTGTTAGCAGCAGAACTTGAACTATGTAAACATAAAGTAGTAAAAACCAAACCATTCAGCAACTTCCACAGGCTGCGCAGGTGTTCTGTTAAGAGACAGTTTGGTGGGGAGTGCTTCTAATAATACTGGTTTCATTAGGCAATAATTGCCTGAACCAAGGAGGAAGCTCTCTGAAGTACAAGGAAATTGACAAATCCGCAGGATCCCTTTCTTTCCTAATCCATGGAAAATGTAGAGTGACAATTTAGCCTACTGTTGGGACTACTCAGTAGTGTCTTTATTGCAGGTGATGAGAATTCTTTAGAGCTGAACTGAAATTTTACATACTCAAGAGCTGTGTGTTTCTCCCCCGCCTCCCCAACACTTCTGTTTATTTAGATATTTATACCCCACTTTTCTCCTCAGTGAGGACCCAAAGTAGCTCACATCATTTCCTCCCTCCCCCATTTTGCCCTAACAACAACATCCCTGTGAGGGAGTTTAGGCCGAAAGAGATAGAGAGAGGGTAATTGGCCCAAGGTCACCCAGTGAGCTTCCTTGGCAGAGTGAGGTTTCAAGCTTGATTCAGATCCTACTCCCAACACTTTCCCCACTAAACAGTGCTGGTTTATATTGCAGGAATCCAGATTTTTATTTCTTCCTTGTCGATTCAAGTCTGAGATCGTTTTCCACAGAGAGGCGGCAGCGTAATGGCCAGGATCCCAAATTAGGGAAGCAGACAGTTTGGAAAAAACAACAACCCTGTGGCTTATGACCTTGATAGAGCACCAGGAAGCATTATATGGGCTCATAATATGCACATGTTGTTGTCTGTGTACTATACATGCCTGTGTCGTCTTCTCTTTATTTACCACTCTCTTTTTGTTCTGGCCTCAATCGTTTGTAGATTTTCGCCATCTTTGCATTTGCCACCTGTGGTGGTTACAGCGGAAGAACAAAAATCAAACTCTTTTGTACCAAAGACGAAAACCTGACGGCTGAAGCTGTTTTTGGATACCCATTCAGGTAGGAGCATTTACCTTTGAGGAGTGGTGCAACTTGGACAGAGGCAGAACAAGATTTCCCAGCCTTCCGACCAACAGTGCAATAAAGGCATTTTACCTGTGAATCATTGTGGGTTGTGGCTCAGTGCATTGTGGCTGAGTGACAGAGCATCTGCTTGGCGTGCAGAAGGCTCCAGGTTTGATCTCCAGTGTCTCCAGTTAAAAAGGGTCAGGTTATATACATAGGGTTATATACATAGGGTTGCCAGGTTCTCTCGCTGTCACGGTGAGGGGCATTCTGGGACGTTGCACATGATGTCCCCGACTCGATGATGTCACTCAGAAGTGACATCATTGTGTCAGCAACAGTGCACACAATGCTCTAGTTTTTGGGCAAAACTCTATGGGTTTTCCTGCCTTCAAAACAGTAGAGTTTGCCCCAAAACCAGAGAATCAGTGCGTGGCATCCCTGGTGTGGTGATCCGGCTGGCAGCAGATCAAAGCCCCCCAAAGTGGGGAAACCTCCACTGGGACCTGGAGGCTGGCAGCTCTAGGTATAGGTTTGCTAACTCCAGTTTGGGAAATTCCTGGGGATTTGGAGGGGGGCGACTGAGGAGGCAGAGTTTGAGGAGAGAGTGCTGCAGGGATGTGATGCCATAGATGAGAGCTGCCATTTTCTCTGGTGATCTGTTGTAATGGTGATGGGAAGGCCCTAGGCCTGAGATGTTGTAGGTAGATGGGCGGAGGAGGAGTCTGGAATCAAACATAAAGCTTCCTCATGGAATTGGACACAACTGTTTGATTAGATCTGGTGTCCAAGACAAAGGCCTCTTTCACTGGAATAATCTTTGTCGTACTGAGATATCAGTACAAGGAAGAGGAGGCCAGAAAACAGATGTGGAATTCAGCCCCTCCCACTCAGGGCCATTACACTTCTCTGTTCCTCGGCACACGGTCCCTCACCTTCAGACTCCATAGCCTGAGCACTCTTTTCCCACCATTCTAGAGCTCCTTCCCCTATGCCCAGGGTATTATTGATCTGGTTCCCTGCCTCACTCATTCCCCATCCATCCCTTCCTCAGGTTTCTGTTTATGGGTCTAAAGTCTCTACCCTTCCATCAGCCTTCCTGTCTCCACCCTTATTTCCTGCCAACGGCAAACTTCTTCCTGTACCTAGGCTGCATGAATACATACCCATGAAGTTGCCTTCTGCTGAGTCAGACCACTGGCCTACAAAAGTCACTACTGTCTATTCTGACTGGCAGCAGTTCTCCGATATCTTGGGTAGAGGTTTTTCCCCATCAACTATTAGTTGTTGTTGTTGTTGTTGTGTGTGTGTGTTTTTGAAGTAGAGGTGCTAAGGATTGAACCTGGGACTGCCTGCCTGCAAAGGGAATGCTCTACCACTGAACCACAGCAACTTCCCAGGCCCTGTGTGAGGTTTTCCCCCAAGCCAAATTGACCTTTCACTTCCCTCACATAAGATGCACCATTTTGTCAATGTTCTGTTGTGTTTATCTTGTGAGCACACAGGCGATATTGTATTCTTCTGGGGAACAGTAGACCCCCTGATACATGGGATGCAGATCTGCTTTGCTTGATCTGACTGGGTTTTGTGGTTTTCCTGTTCATGGAGAATTTTGTGGTTAGAAACCGAATTTCAAAATGTGCTTCTTCCCCACCCCCCACCCCCACCCCCCGCTCTGACTTTAGGTTGAACAAGGCTTTGCTCAACCTTTCAGAGCCCAAAACTTGTAACAGCACTTGGAAAGAACCGCACTTCCTGGTGGGAGACTTCTCATCTTCAGCTCAGTTCTTTGTGACCTTTGCTGTCTTCGTGTTCCTCTACTGTATCGCTGCCCTGGTGGTATACCTGTGTTTCTTACATCTGTATCGGGGCGCTGGCAAACTTCCTATGATCGTAAGTTGCTCACATATTTCTTCCCTGTAATTTTATAGCACTTATTTGGGAGGGGAATTTGCCTGTGGTCTGTCTGTCAAGTCTTGGGAGGGGGGCACTGTCCTTCCTCTCAACTGTAGGTTCAGGATGTAGCTGTATGTCTCTCTTTTTTAAAAATGTTCTGCTTCTCAAGGGAGAAAAAATAAAATAGCTTGAATTGATCCAGAGATTTAACATATTGGCTTAAAATATTTACAGAAGGTATCACCTTGTTCTCCCCAAAGAAAGAGAGGTTCCAAAATTCAGATTAGGATAAAATTCACCTTCATACACTTTCTAAGCCCCCTGGGCATCATATCTCAGAAACTAAGCAAGGTTCACCCTGGTTGGTGACAGGTTGGGAGACCACTGAGGAAGTCCGGGGTCACTACGTAGAAGTAGGTTATGGCAACAGCAAACCGCTTCTGTTTGTCTCTTGTCTCAAAACCCCATGGGGGAGTCAACACTAGTCAGCTGCAACTTGATAGCACTTTCCACCCCCACCCCCCCATGGACCATCTCTTCTCATCATGGGCATAGCAAGTTTTCATGTTGCGCAGAGCTCTTCTTCTGGGGGAAGGGTTCTCTGCGGATCAGAAGCACATGTCTGCTTGACAGGACTCGGGGTAGACCCTGGGAACCGTGTGCCATATAATTAGGCCCTGAATGCAAAGCAACCAAGCCACTGTCCAAGACTCATTCTTGGGGAGATATACTGTAAAAACTGGACTATAACACAGTTCTTCTTTCTCCATCCTTTGCTGCTGGATCACAGGAGCACCGGTGAGTGTTGCATGCTTTCTGCATGCAGAGTTGTATCCTGACCACCAAGGCAGGGTCCAATTTGGGCTAGTTTGACTCTGTGTTCCTTGGTAGTTGATCTAGGATTACCCTGATCTGGATGGCCCAGGCTAGCCCAGTCTTGTGAGACCTTGGACACTAAGCAGCGTCAGCCTTGGTTAGTGCTTGGATGAGAGACCATCAAGGAAGACTGGGGTTCCTATGCAGAGGCAGGCAGTGGCAAACGATCTCTGTTCATCTCTTGTCTTGAAAACCCTATGGTGGACCTCCTGATGGCACCTGGGTTTTGGCCACTGTATGACACAAAGTGTTGGACTGGATGGACCATTGGCCTGATCCAACATGAACATAAGAGAAGCCATGTTGGATTGGGCCAATGGCCAGAACTCCAGAAGCCCTCCCACTGTTGCCCCCCAGGCACCAAGAATACAGAGCATCACTGCTCCAGACATAGTGTTCCATCTATACCTTGTGGCTAATAGCCACTGAGGGACCTCTGCTCTATGTTTATCCAATCCCCTCTGGAAGCTGTCTGTGCCTATAGCCACCACCACCACTTCCTGCAGCAGTGAATTTTACATACCTTCTCTTATGTTCTTACGTCACCATAAGTTGGCCGCAGCTTGATGGTACTTTACACACACAATCTAAAATTTGTATCCCTGAATAATAATCCTTCCACTCATCTCCACAAAGAGCACCCATACTTCGTACTTAACTGTTTGCTCGCTTGGTTATCTCAGGTTGTTCACCATTACTTGCTTGGGTAAAGCACGGTGGTGTTCAGGTGTGAAGATTTGTCTCCCTAGGAAAACTATATGCCACGGTTTGTCTGCCTAGGAAAACAAGCTTCTATGCATCAGCTGGGTTGTCCCTGCCCATTATAAGGAACCTTTTACCATGTTTTAAGGTGCATTCTGAATTTGCGTGGGGTATCCCTTTCAGTCTGTGCTAACTGAGGGAGACTTCGAAAAGCTTTTAATGTTCCACGAGGTAGCGCGTTGAAGACCAATAATGGTGAGCAGGCTGGTTTTAGGGGCAACTGGATGGCCATTTTATCAAAGGATCTAAAACCACTGCTGTTCCTTTACTAGAGTGACAGCCCTGCTAGTATGGATGTGCCCACTGATTTTTTCCTCCATGAAGGAAGCAAAATATTGGCAAGATCCGTTGATCTTGCTGGAGGCCATTGACTCTTCTGAAGGTGTAAATAAAAGGGTTTTTGGGAGGATAACAGTAAAAATAATCAGCATGTGAATTCCAGAGGGTAGCTGTGCTAGTCCTTCACAGCATAAAATAAACACGGAGATCTTAAAGATCAACAAAACTGGATTTCAGCATACTCTTTCATGGAGGCCATGTCTAGTTCTATGTTCTAGGCCATAAAACTAGGTTCTAGGCCATAAAAGCTTACACTGGAATAACATTGTGTTAGTCCTTTGAGGCAGAACAAGTCTCCTGTTTCAGCAGGGAACTCTTTGTGTGCATCTGTTTCACAGAACTTGGGGCAGAGATGGCTCAGTGGAAGCACCACTGCCTTGCATGCAGAAGGTCCCAGGTTCAATCCCTGGCATCTCCAGTTAAAAGGAACAGGCAGTAGGTGATGTGAAAGACCTCTGTCTGAGCCCCTGTAAAGAAGTTGTAACTCCAGGGACTCACTCTGATAGTGCTCTTCGTCCTGGCTGTGGGCTATTTGCTGCACAAAGGAGGGAAGTCCACATTCAAAAAACGGTTCTCTTTATTTACTGTATCCAAGGACGAAGCTGGAGAGGGGACAGGAAAACAAGACAACAGTCCCGTATTTAGTGCAATTAAAAGCCAAAACTTCACAGCAGTTACCACAAGCAACAATCCAAGCCTTCAGATGAATTCCTCATACAAGGCTCCTGAAGAGGGATGAATTCCAAAAGTCTCTCAGCTCTCCTCCCAATTTCTTGCTTTGCCTTCTCTGTCTGACGACTAACGTCTGATAGTAACTACACCAACTTACTCCCCCTCTACCCTCCCTTGGTCATGTAACATAGTGGCTAAGAGTGCAACCGGTAGAAGAAGCCAAAGGGAAAGCCAGTATGATGGAGGAGTTAGAGTGCTGGGCTGGGATCTGGGAGACGATAGTTCAAACCCCCACTTTTGCCTGGGAAACCAGCTGGGTGACCTTGGGCCAATCACACACTCGGCCTCACCTACCTCACAGGGTTATTGTAAGGATAAAATAAAGGAGAATGCCCTAAGCCAGCCCCACCCCCCAAAAAAAACATTTTTGAGCCTATGGGCATCTTTGGAATTCTGACACAGCATGGTGGGCACAGCTGCAAGACAATTGCCACAAAACGGCTGTGGCAGTGAAGATCCTTGTGCTGTGGTAGCAGCTGCTGCCAAAGCAGTGTTTTTAACAATCTGTGCAGCCGATCAACTCTCCAGTGGCTAATCAAAGCTGCTGCTAGACAAGAGCCCCACCTGGCCCTACCCACTCTGTAAGAACACTTGGTGAGCACCAGGAAAGGTGTCAACGAATCATATGTGGTGGACTTGTAATAAAGCCAAAAATATTGGCTACAGATAACATTCAATTATGCAGAAGATTTTAAAGATTAATATACAATTGAAACAAGAGACCATTTTGTTGGGATTAATGGATAAACAACTTGAAAATACGAATTGGAACTTTGTTTCTCTATATGACAGCAGCAGCAAGACTGTTATATGTTCAAAACTGGAAAACTGCATCATTACATACAATAGAGGGATGGCTAGTCAAAATGCTGGATGCTTGCAGAGATTGGCCAAACTTGCGTCTTTGATAAAAGAAAAGACTACTTAAATTTATATCTACGTGGAAACCTTCTTGCGTAAAAACAGGGTGTGTGTGAACTGATGACTTATGGCTTTGAAGATTAAAGGGCAATGATAATAGGCTTATACAGAAAGGTTATGGATTTCCCTTGGTCTTACTACGGGCTAAGGTGATAATGAGTAACGGTATGGATTCCTGTAGCAGCGAGAATCAGATATTACTCCCTTTTTTGTGTCATAGTTGATCCGTTATTTAGTTTCTCTTTTCTTGTGTTGTTCTGTTTGATTTATTTTGTTTCTCCTTCCCTCTTTTATTTCTTGTCTAAAACCTTAATAAAACTTCTATGTATATATGTGTGTCTGTGCGTGTGTGCCCACACGCACCATGTCAGGGACCCATGCCCGAAGCCGTTTGGGATCTCCACTAGGGAGAAAGGTGGGGTGTAATGAAACAAACAAAAGGAAAGTCACACCCAAACAGATGCAACGAAGAATAGCCTTTGTTTATAATACAGTGGAACACTAAATGTCACAGCCTTGCATATTTTCTCTTTTGTATGCAGTAAGTGGGGTGGCCAAACACTCACAAGAAGAAGGAGTCTTGCAAGAATTAGGGAACTGGCACGTGCCGCGTGCTTCTTGGAAAGCTCGCCAGAGCAAGGGGAATAATCTCCATCTCCCCGGCAGAGGTGGTGTGCGGCTGACTTGTGGCAGGTGGCAAGGGTGTTATTCCACAAATTTTGGCTGTGTCAGCCCTGGAAACACCATGGGAATAGTTTCTGTGTGCGCACGACACCCACAGAAATCTGTGTGTGTGTGATGGTGCCTCTTCGGTTTTGCCGCCTCCCTCCTGTTCAGCGGTCTCGCCTTTTCTCCTCTTCCAGGACTTCATTGTCACCGTGGTCGTTTCTTTCTTGTGGCTGGTAAGCACGTCTGCCTGGGCGAAGGGCCTCACGGATATCAAAACGTCCACCGGCCCCAGCCTCCTGGGTTTCCTTAAGCCTTGTAATAACGTGACATGTGTTTTTGACGAAGTCAGCAGTATGGGATCCTTGAACGTCTCTGTGGTAAGTGTGAGATTTGTTTTTTTTTAGGTGGTGGGGAGGAGGTAGTGGCTGTGGCGATCGTGTCCTCATGGGGAGCCTGACCTGGGATCTGCCTGACAGCAGTTAGAGACAGAATTTTGGAGCAGAAGTTCCAGCAGTGTCTGGGGTTGCCAGCCTCCAGGTAGGGCCTGAAGTTCTTCCGGAATGATGGCTGATGTCCAGCCCACAGAGGTCAATTCCCCTGGAGAAAATGGCTGCTTTGTAGTTTGGACTCTCTGGGATCACATCCCTGCTGAGCTTCCCTCCCCAGACTCCACCCACCCCAGGCTCCAGCCTCAGATTTCCAGGAATCTCCCTACCTGGAGATGGCAACCCTAAGCAAGAATGTTGTGTGTGTGTGTGTGTGTGTGCGCGCGCTCTGAAGAGGCCTGCCTGTGGTTTTCCTGTCCTTGGGTTTGCTTGACACTTGGGTTTCTTTCATGCATGCTTTTTTAATGCCTTGCTTTGACTTCTGAAGGATTTTTTTTTTTAAGTTTTCACACACCTGTAGGAGAAAGTGCAACAACAACCTTCAGAAACCCAAATCAAAACAGGTTTTGGAGAACCTGGATTAAGGCATCATTAATTGCCAGAGAACAGTGTTTTATCCCTAAGGTGTGTGAAACTTTAAAAAACAATCACATTGGCCTTCAGAAGCTAAAGCAGGTTTTCCCCATTAAGGCAGAGGTGTCAAGCTCATTTGTTACGAGGGCCAGATCTGACATAAATGTAACTATGTCAGACCGGACCATGTGTGCCATAAAATGTAATGCCAGGTACCAGAGATATAAATTTTATAAAGGACAGCAACTGGTAAGTTCTGAGTTGTTGTGTCCTCACTTGCAAGGCCCCCATGGGCTGGGGTGTGTGTGCAGAGAAAGCCCCACGTGGGCTGACTGGAGAGTCAGAGGTGCAGCACTGGGCAGATGTTCCTGCGCTGCCTGGAGGGGGGCAGACCCCTTTCCCAGCCTGCTCCCACTGCCAATGCTGTGAGCCCAGGCCCCAGGGTAAAAACATGAAGTGGCTGGGTGTTGTGAGCTCTCCCCTGCCCCCAAACCACCATGGAAAGGGACTGGGAAGATAAGTTGAACTACAACCTGCCTACAGAAGTGGGAGGGGGGGCAGCGGTCCAGTTTCGAGGCCACGTGCATGGCAGGACCCAGGCCAAGCAAAGCCTGATGATCTAGAGGTGCCTGTGCAGCAGCGGCCACCTCTGACCAAGGCCATCAGGCGGTCCATGATGGGGAGATGCTGGGAGTCCAAGCCATAGATTGTCAGCAAGCTGCGCCACCCCCATATGACTGCAGCCACCCCAGGCACCCTGTAAACAAGGTTGACTGTTTCTGAATGTGGAGGTTCCCTTTAAGTCACCGTAGCTAGTAGACACTGGTGGACCTGTCCTCCAACTAGTTCCTTGAAGAGCCAACAACAGAGCATAGTGGCCAAGGCCTTCCCCTGATGTTGTCCTCCTAGCACTGGGATTGAGAGATTGATTGCTTCCGAATGTGGAGGTTCCCTTTAGCCACTATAGCTAGGAGACACTGATACAGGCCTTTTGTGGATTGTGGGGCAAATTTTTTTCTGCGGGGGTTGACGTGCAGAAAGAAAACGCAGAATTCTGAGGATTATGACTCATCTACTGTGGAATCAAGCCTTTTAAAATTAAAGCATAGAGGCTTCTGCAAATCTTAGCCCCAGAGTGTGACAATAGTAGGCTGAGGAGGGGGGAGGGGGAGAATAAATTTTCTTGGAGATGGTGGACATGGCACTGGAAATACTTATCTGGGTTTGGCCAGTAAATTCACTCCAATTTGCATAAAAACACATAAAACTTTATTTACAAAAACAAAGGACAAACAATACATAGGGGAAAGAATGTATACAGTTGAACAAGGAATGCAAACCAAAACAAAAAACGCAGCTTTATTTATTTTATTTATTTATTATAGGGGAAAGAATGTATGCAGTTCAACAAGGAATGCAAACCAAAACAAAAAACCCAGCTGGCTTTTCTACTCACTACTTTTCCTGTCAGGCGTGTGGCTCTGGCATCTCGACTGGCATTCATGATGAGCAGAGTCTCTGGAACCATAGCAGCAAGGTAGAAGTTGAAGAGAGCTTGAGGCAGTCTCTTCTCTCTCTGAGTCTTCTCAAGCTCTCTGTTCTTCATAGGTGTTCTTAACCATTTAGCCAATAGAAAGCTGTTACCAGGATAGATCTCTAAATTGCAAGCTGTCAACCACTTTAGATGACAGTTCTCATCTGCTATAAGTTGATCACTTGTGTCAGCCTAAGCAACAATTCTGATAACAAGCCCGCAGGTGGGGGTGATGACTTCTGTAGTAAAGAAAGCTAACACTTAGGCAGAAAAAGTCTCTTAAAGGAGACCAGTTTCTTGACACAGAGTTAGAAGGTATCCTAGAGGTCACCTACTCCAAGCCCCTTGCTTAGTCCATGAATTAGTCAACTACAGCACCCCACTCTGCTTAAAGGAGCACATGCTTTTAAAAAATGTTTTTAAATGATTGAAGAAAGCATTTATGGGAGAAATTATTGTGAGGCTGTGCCTTTAAGAAAGGGGGTAGAGTCCCTAAAAGCCCCACTGTAGCTACGGGCCTGCATTGATAGACCTATCCACCATGAATCTATCTAATCCCCCTTTTAAAAAGCTGTCTATGCCTGTGGCCATCACTACATTGTCTGGCAGCGAATTCCATATTGGGTAATCATTTTCTGTGTAAGGAAGTATTTCCTTTTGTCTGTCTTGAATCTACTGCCCATCAGCTTCATTGGATACACTGGAAATGTTATGTATTCTCTTTCTTCAGGTTGTTTCTTCAATGTAAGGAAGGAAGAGAAGAAGCAATCTGTAACACGTGCAGTTTGGGGGACAGCTAAGCTCTCCCTCTGTTCTCTGTACAATTCAGGATGTGTCGAGTAGTCTTTTAGCACATGTTTGAGTGACAACAGTCACACGGATTACTTATAATATTGTGCCAGTTTTCTCAAGCAGGAAATGTAGAAACTTTGCTCCAGCGTTCTGATTGTGACAGAGTCATAACTTCCCAAGAATAGAACTCTCCAGTTCTAAAGTTCTGTGTCTGTCCTTTTTTCCGAGTTTGGTGTAGTGGTTAGGAGCGTGGACTCTAATCTGGGGGAAACAGGTTTGATTCCCCACTCCTCCACATGCAGCTGCTGGTGTGACCTTGGGTCAGTTACGAGTTGTTTGAAACAACTTGTTTCAGAGCTGTTCTCTCACGAGCAGTCCTTGAATCGGACAGAAAAGCAAATTTATTATTAAGAACAGTCATAAGACCAGCAAAATAAACCAAAATAGTACAACACCGAGTCTACGACATAGAATCCTTGTAGCCTTAAATACTAAAATACGAAACCGGTCAATTCCGTCATTAATGGCTCGAGTTACAGTACATTCTAAGAGCAGTCCTTGAAAGAGCTCTCTGAGCCCCACCTACCTCACAGGGTGTCTGCTGTGGGGAGGGGGAGGGAAAGGAGATTGTAAGCTGTTCTGAGACCCCTTCAGGTAGTGAAGGGCAGGGTATAAATCCAATCTCTTCTTTTTCTTCTTCTTAGGTCGTTGGTTTCCTCAACCTGATTCTGTGGGCAGGAAACGCTTGGTTTGTCTACAAGGAGACTCACCTGCATAATCCTCCAGCTGCTGAGCCCCCGAACCCAGGCAGCCCCCCAATTCCCACAGGGATGTAAAGAGAGCGGGAAGTCGTCCCATAAGGAGCCGAAGCTTCTCTCCAACACTGTGCCCACCACAGTTTTGTTGTGTGTCTTTTTTAATCCCTTCCCCGTCCTAAATCGATCTTGGTGAAAATTAGACGGGTTTCTCCCCCCTCCCCCCCAAAAAAGCCTGTGCCTGTGATGAAGGAATGGCGCTGGGGAGGGGGTTGTTCTACTCTACCAAAATGTTGAAAAATGAGGAAACGTGCCTCTATTTTATTTTATTTTTTTTTGCAGCTCCAGCAGTCTGCAGCCACCAAGGGTTGGCTTTCCAGCTGATGCAGGTCAGCACAAACTGTGTAACTATAGCCCAGTTGTGCTGCTCTGGTCTGAGTCGATGCTGTCATCCATTCTTTGTTTGAGTCATAGCCAAGAGTTGTACATAATGCTTGTGGTACGTCCTTATTGTGGGGTTACGCTGTCATCCTTCCGCAGAGAGAACAGCCAAAACAACCTACTTGAGGATGTCTGTGTATCAGAAACCTGTCAGCTGAACTTTTAGATTTATAACTCGGGGAACAGGAGGGAGGCAAAAACCTCTGTAAATAGTCCTAGCCAGGGTTTCCGGGAATCTGTATGTGGAGTTGAGCAAACTTGAGCAGAGTGCTGGGGAATCAGAGCTGGGAATGAAAGTTAGTTCCTAGTCCTGAAGCCTGATGAAACGTGGGAATGCAAACCTCTGACTCTCTGTAGGTCTCCTTTCCCTAGCAAGCTTTTCATCCCACCTTCTCTTCTTTGTACTTTTCCATAATCCCTCCCAAAGAAATTGTGCCTGCCATTTTCATATTCTGCAAAAAAAAAAAAAAAGGAACTACCAAAGAAACTGTGTTTTTATGCAAAGTACACGCAGGAGCCAGAACACATGTTAGTGTTGCCCATTCGAACGATCTGGTGTAAATGGCAAAATTTGAATTCTGCAGTTACAAAATGTGTGTGGGGAGAGAGAGTCATTTAACACAGTATTAGCAGGATTCCTGGCAACAGCTTCCCACTTACAAAGCTGCACTGAGCAGTTTGCTGTGTTTCCTGTGCACGTACAATTCTGCTCCATTTGGATTCCTAAGTGTTGCCTTCTGCGCTATTTAAAAGGGCAGATTTCTAGTTATCACAATGCTTAAAGATGGGGAATTCCTGTGCCCAATGTTCCAAGGCCACAAAAGCTAGCTTTATGATGGCTTCTAGTAACCATTAAACATCTTTTCTGCCCCGCTCCTTCCCTTAAGTGGGGGCTCCCGATCAACCAACATGTCTTTAGCCAAAATATTTCTGAAACAGTTTGGAAATCAGTTGTGGACTTCAGAATAAATCGTGTTAATTGAGCAAGCTTAGGAAAAGCAAGCACCTTTGCTTAGTTGATATTTTAATTTTTTCATACTTATTGTGAGCATAGCCATGAGGAAATGTGCCATGACTTCAGGCAATCTCTATTTATGATCCCTATTCATGCATAGGAATTTTGGGTTTGGAAGCAGTCCTTCCTGTAATGGCACTCTACTTGTGTTTATCCTTGTGTTTATTCACTCTACTTTAAAAAAAAAAATCACACGGCTGATATCGGGAGGATTTTCAGTCTTTGTACGTGCTTTTAAAAGTTGCGGTAAGAGCGTCAGCATTTTGTTCCCCGGCTTTCGTCTGTGATGCAGATCATCGATATCTTTGTTTGATGTCTGGAAAAGGGAGGCTAAAGCCACAACCCTAAATTAGGGAGGTTAAATGCCTTCACTGGCAGTTAGCGGTGAAATATTGAATTTGACATGGCCGCCATTACTCGAGCATGGTGCCTTAAGGAGTTTCTGTCTGTGAGAAGGAAGATTTCAGGATACGCCCTAGAACATTGGTCTTCAACTCTTCCAGGACTCACCTTTAATGCCTAGGCAGCAGCTTTGGACTCCAAACGCCGCTAAGGACACGACATCAGACATAAACAATAGGAAGAGGAGGAGCCAGAGTTATGACTGCTGGGGAGTCTGCTGCCCTAGAGAATTCACTCATTAGCACGAAAGAATGGGAAGGCCAGTCTTCTCCTGCCAGATGGGCAATCGATTGTCCCAATGTTTATGATCTCCCTTTCCATGCACAGGTGAAGACGTCTCTTGCCAAGCCCCCCAAACAAGGCAATAGCACTATGACAGCTCTCAGTGTGGTCAACTGTGCTGTTTGGCACCAGAGGTATAGAAGTACCCAGGATTCTCTTCCCCTGCTCAAATGGCAGATGTCTTTTTAAGGCTGGGCAATAAGAACGTTTCTAGATGTGCCCCAGATCAACTAGTGAATCCGTGGCTGAACAGGAAGAGTTGGCTGAGATTCCTTAAGTCTGTATCATCTCCATTGGGCCAGGATGAGCCAGGGGTGCTAGGTTTGCAAACAGTCGGAAGTTTGGCATATCTTTTGGGGATGAAAATTTGCTCAGTAATTCTGCATGGCACAGTTGCTTGGACTAATCCGCTTTGGAGGGCGTCTTGAATTTTTTTTAAAAAAATCACTATTTATCGGATGGCTGCCTCTCTGGAACTCATTCTGTAGGTTTCAGATATCCTAATCACCAGTCTCCTTAAGCACCTATAGATCTGACTGCTGCCTTAATCTTAATGTTCCTTATTCTTGTTTGGGGCTTGACCTATGCTCAGGGTATGCAGGGATTTTCTGTGGTGCCGTGTGTTGCAGCCTAGGCAGTGTGACTTTAAAGGCAGAATCCTTAGTTTCTGAGCTTTCTCCAGCCAACCAGTATAGTGCCCCCCTCCTCAAGATTCTAGCCATCATTGTTTTTGTGATTGCTTGTACATAAAGTTTTAAATTTTTTTGGCTATTTGTTCTTGTGTGTGTCATGCAAAGCAAGGCTACCCTGCAGCAGTGAGACGTCTTTTGACTGTCTCTGATAGCAGTAGTTTCTCTTCATTTGAATAACTGTTCTGGGCTGTATAGAAGTACCCAGGATTCTCTTCCCCCGCTCACCTCCGCTTTTGATATTCACCCTATGGCATTCGCTGGTTACCCTGCTCAAATGGCAGGTGTCTTTTTAAGGTTGGGCGATAAGAACGTTTCTAGACGTGCCCCAGATCGACCAGTGAGTCCGTGGCGGAACAGGAAGAGTTGACTAAGATTCCTTAAGTCTGTATCGTCTCCATTGGGCTAGGATGAGCCAGGGGTGCTAGGTTTGCAAACAGTTGGAAGTTTGGCATATCTTTTGGGATGAAAATTTGTTCAGTAATTCTGCATGGCACAGTTGCTTGGACTAATCCGCTTTGGAGGGCGTCTTGAATTTTTTTTTTTTAAATCACTATTTATCGGATGGCTGCCTCTCTGGAACTCATTCTGTAGGTTTCAGATAGCCTAATCACCAGTCTCCTTAAGCACCTTCTATAGATCTGACTGCTGCCTTAATCTTAATGTTCCTTATTGTTTGGGGCTTGACCTATGCTCAGGGTATGCAGGGATTTTCTGTGGTGCCGTGTGTTGCAGCCTAGGCAGTGTGACTTTAAAGGCAGAATCCTTAGTTCCTGAGCTTTCTCCAGCCAACCAATATAGTGCCCCCCTCCTCAAGATTCTAGCCCTCATTGTTTTTGTGATTGCTTGTACATAAAGTTTTAATTTTTTTTGGCTATTTGTTCTTGTGTGTGTCATGCAAAGCAAGGCTACCCTGCAGCTGTGAGACGTCTCTTGACTGTCTCTGATAGCAGTAGTGTCTCTTCTCTTCATTTGAATAACTGTTCTGGGCTCCTCTCAGGGCTGAATCAAAGCCATTTGGGGGCTTCTTAACTCCTTACAGCCCCCCCCTCCCCCAGCAGCTATAGGACAAATGAACATGTGTTTGCTAGACCCACCTCCACCTAAGGCAGGGATTGGGGTCAGCCACACACCAAACTGTTGTGTAGATCATAGCCAGGCCGAGGGAAAGCTTTTGTAGGGGGCCAGGCCTTATCACATGACCTGTTCTAGCTTATCGCTGGTGTCCTTTGGCCAGAGCTTTGGAGTGGAGCACAAGTTGAATAATAATTCCCTCAAGGTCTATGACTTGGAGTTTGGGGCACGTGTGGTGTTGGAAATTGACCTCTGGGTTCTAATCCCTAGGCTACATCTATTAAAACATAGTGGCTTTTCTCATATGGTCCTTGGCCTAAGAAAATCAGGATCATCCAGAAATGGAGAGAGCAAAGTCCTGTACAAAACTCTTGAGCCCCTGTCATTGTCAAATGCTTTGTGTAAGCTGTTAAAAACACTGGATGAACTTAACCCCCCAATTAACAATCCAAAGGGGTGCATATGGGGGGGGGGATGCAGCAGGGGTTGTCCACACAGAAGGGTGGGTTGATTTTCATTGATTTTCCTTCTCCTTGTTGTAGACCATTGATAACCCCCCCCAGTGTACCTGGGTTCCACTGTTCCCCCTGGAAAAGCATTGGGGGGGCATTTTGGGCTGTGTGTGGGGAGGAGGCAAGGAAGTCCTTTCCTTTCCATCAGCCAAAATCCTCCAGTGGAATCCAAGCAAAAATGTTTCACACATTCTCAGTAATGCTGCAAACCAGTTATGTCAGGGGGCAGTGTTGGAATGAACCATAGGTAGCCTTTTCCTTAGAGATGTGTTGACAGACATCCATGCAATTTTTATCGCTCCTGGTGCTCTTCAGTCGTCCTAGATCTTTTCAGCAGAAATAAATACTTTTGTTGTCGTCATTCAAGACTATACCATGTAGATTTACTTTCCTTGAGACATCCTTGGCTAACACTCATGCTTTTGGGGGAGGGGGTTGGAGTGAATGAAAGCTGTGTGCATTTATGATAAAGCAACACACCCACTTTTTTTTGTGCCTGTCATTGTTCAACAAACACTGATATATCAGTACACAAAATTAAAAAAAAGAAAAGAATTGCTGAATGAATCTGCGTGGTTCTTACAAATATCGTCTTACTCCCAGATCCTGTCAAACCATTTGCAACCTCCTAATAAATCTCTCAGCTTTTCATTGAAAGAAACGGAAAGTTTCTAGCCTTCGTGAAGAAAAGTTTAGGCTAAGGGCTGTGCATGTGGAAACATCACAGGGCAGTGATGGCTGAAGGTGGAAATGGTGCAGGGGGCTTTCAGTGGAGTCTTAAAATGAAATCAGGAAATGTCCAGGGCCCTCTGCCCTCCATTTTGAAACTTCAGGAATAGTTTTTGGAATTTTTTTTATAAATAGAAAACTATTGAAAAGGCTAAATGGCTCAAAATATTAAATAGAAATGGGTGTTTTTTTCTGTCAGTTTTGATGATGAGAATGGCCTGAGGGAAAAGGATTAAGACACCTTTCCCTGCCTCAGATGTGTTAGATATTGTCAGGTCCCTGGGACAGTATTTAAATGGAGGAAAGTACAAAAATTGAACTATGAATCATAGCTGGCCCTCATTGCCTATGTAAGTGCCACTGTCCAAGCAGCCATGACACCCCAGAGATCAATCCTGTTTCTTGAGGAATTCGCTGTTGTGGCTGAGGCCATAATATCATTTGTTAATTTTCAAAGTGACACAGAAACTTCTCCGTGTCCCTGCTTCATTTACATAAAGATTCATGGGAAGGTGGGGAAGAAGGAAGTCACTTGGCGGACTGGTCATTCCTGTTGCAAGGTGGACCCAGGGAAGCAAAGCGACAGACGTGGAGAAGCCACAGAAGGGCGTCTCTTGGGGATACAAGCCTGCTGAGGCCTCAGCCCGAGGAATAGATGGGGGTAGCTGTGAGGGAAATTGCTCCATAGAATCTGAATGGAATACCACTTGCGTTCTCTGACAAGCTGCCTGAGGCAAGAGGGCCACAAGAATTCCTGACAGAGCCATGCATAAAGGTAACCTAAATTAGGGTTGCCAGACTTCTGTTTGGGGCCTGGAGATCTGGAATTACAGCTGTTCTCTAGATGTAAGAGATCAGTTCCTCTGGAGAAAATTGCTGCTTTGGAGGGGGCAGATCGTATGACATACCCCCTGAGATATCTTCCCCTCCCCAAGGTCTACCCCCAAATTGCCAGGAAGAGGCAAACACTTTGGGAGGGACATGAATTGGAAGCACAGTGGGACTGGGAGAGAGACTGAACTGACTTCTGGGATACAAACCTCACAGTAACCCACCTATGTTACTGGCCCTGAAATGAATTGATCAAGAGTGTTTCAACATGGCTTGTGCCAGAGAATATCCTGTCTACCGAGTCTGTATTTGAGGGAAAACTGAAGATGTGTACATGCACACGAAAGCATATACCTTGAATAAAACTGCTGGTCGTAAAGCTGCCATTGGACTCAACCTTTGATTTGAGGGAAATCAGTTTTTACTTAATCCTGCTTTCCCCTTAACAGGGACCCAAAGTGGGTTACAACAGTCTCCTCACAACAACACTATGTTTAGGCTAAGAATTTGTAAACCGCCTCAGGTCACCGAACAAGCTTCCATGGTGGAGTGGAGATTTGAACCCAGTTACTCTAGGTTCCAATCTAATGCCCTACTAACCATTTGCATTCACATATTCACATTGACCACTCAAGTCATTAGATAAGAGCCAGAGTCAGGGTGTTCAGAGCACTGGATTGGGACCAGAGAAACCTAGGTTGTGGTCACATGGTCATTTTGATCGGGTTTCACTGCTTTTCCCTCTCGCATTTAAAATCGCTGATCAGATGGCCGCATCCGTCTCCCACACCGAAGTGGGCTCACTTGTGCAATCCTGGTTCCCTAGCAAGTTTTCCTACATCCGGAAAATCGAGGACTTTCCGGATATTTGCACTTTGAATCAGTGATTTCGCTAATCTGGACAGCCATCTCTCGCAATGATCGCCATTAGGTCATCTGGACGTCCTTATGATCCCCCCCCCAAGTTTCTGTTGTTGTGTGCATGAGCAATCCTGTGCTGAATAAATTCAATGTATAAACGTTCAATCGCACATATAGACTCTAGTGCTCAGTTGTACGTTGCCAGTTAATTTTGCGGGGGAAGGGGGACCTGCAAGAACAAGGGAGTATGGTGAGTCCCAGTGGGAGCAGTGATTTGGCCATGTGTGCGCATGCGCAAAGCCATTAAAAAAAACCACAACAAAACAAGCTGTGCTGCCCAAGTGGCAGCGCGGCTATCTGGATGGTGCCCGGAGCCTCGTTGCGCAATGCAAGCGGTTTGGGGAGGCAGGGAGGGATGTGTAGTCATCCCAACCTGGAAAAAAAATTCCCAATCAAATCTATAGTAGGAACAAATCGAGATAAGCTTGCCGTGTAACCACAGCCTCAGTTTCAAACTCACACTCAGCTGCAGAGCTCGCTGAGTTAGGAGGAGCAACAGACTATCTCAAAGCCTCAAAGTTTTGAGCTTCTCGGAAGAAGAGGAAAGTTTTGCTGTAACAGGATTGGGAAGGCCTGATGCACAAGCTGTGACTTTTATGCCTAAATCAGGAAGGTAGAAGGGGGCTTCTCTCCTGCGGTTCTTCTGGAACCACCAGGGGATCCATCTTCTCTGCCTCAGAAACAAAACAGATGCAGTGTTACTTTAGATCTGAATCAGGGGTCATTTCGTAGAAAAAGAGCTAGGGGAACTCATTAGCATAACTCATTAGCACATCAGGGGACCGGCAGTGGACATGCAAGGCCGGTGGGAGTGCGAGGAAGCCCCGCCAAGGCCCTCCCTGGCCCCAGGCAGGCAGGGGTGGGGGGAAAGTTTTGCTGTAACAGGATTGGGAAGGCCTGATGCACAAGCTGTGACTTTTATGCCTAAATCAGGAAGGTAGAAGGGGGCTTCTCTCCTGCGGTTCTTCTGGAACCACCAGGGGATCCATCTTCTCTACCTCAGAAACAAAACAGATGCAGCGTTACTTTAGATCTGATCCAAGGCACATATCTATATAGATTGTCAAGTTTCAGCTGAAGTGTAAATGGCTGCTGACAGGACCTGATTGTCATTATAAGTCAGCTGTAGGCTATCGTTCCCAGCTCCAGCTTGGGAAATACCTGGAGGTTTTGGGTATGGAGCCTGAGGAGAGAGGGGTTTGGGGAGGGGAAGGACCTCTGCGATATAAATCCATAGAGGCTGCCTTTCAAAGCAGCCCTTTTCTCCAGGTGAACTGATCTCTGTCACCTGGAGATCAGGTGTAATCCCAGGAAATCTTCAGCTACCACCTGGAGGTTTTGTTAGAACAATCAGGACTTACAGTGTACAAAGAGTGAAAACACAAACACTGAAATATCTTATTGCAAGTGCAAATTAATTGACCCAATTCCAGTACAACAAAATTCACAAAGGAATAACAATTTGTTTGAAACATTCACAAGGTCCATCAAATAGAAAGTTCAATATGCCATTCCTTTGCAAAAATTCTTCTCAGAAATCATGCAGCTGTGCAATGCGACAATGGACACATCAAGATCTTAGAAGACTGTTTCAAATCAGAAATTCTTCCTCGAGGTTGCTTTATGATCATGAGCCAATGCTCTTATCAGTGTTTCATGCGCAGAAAGCTATTTATCAATTTTGTAGGCAGGTAGGGATGTATGAATTATGTTGGAATTTCGTAGGCATGTGTGAATTTTGTTATATTGGAATTGGCCTATTCATTTGCACTTGCAATAAGATATTACAGTGTTTGTGTTTGTTTTTTCACCACCTGGAGGTTGGCAACCCAAGCTACCATTCTACATGTACCATGCCATTGAGGCCATGGCTCAGTGGCAGAGCAGCTGCTTTGTATGCAGAAGGTCCCAGGTTTGATCCCCGGCATCGCCACTGTAAAAGGACCGCGTGTTGTGACATGAAAGACATCCACAGCCAGTCAGAGTAGACCTTGATAGACTAAGGGTACGGGACTTTATTTTAGGGAAGCACCCATATAATGAGTCAGACCATCATGTATAACATATTCAGTATTTATGGACAGAGAAGCTAGCAACAGTTTGTTAATGATTTATTATTACTGGAATCTTAGTAGGGGACAAGCTGAGCCCGGTCCACAGGATTAGTTCCTCCTCATGACTTGCTGTATCCAGTCCACATAGTTACATACTCTGGTGTAAACCCCAGGATGGTTGGACTGTGCACATGTCTCCAAGCCCCAGGAGACAATCCCTTCCAACTGTCTGTTGCACACAAGAGGCCCTCCAGAGTCCCCCTGCAGAAGGATAAACAACAGCGTTTTGCATTAATGCTGACCAAAGCTGGAGTCCAGCGGCACCTTTAAGACCAACAGAGTTTTATTCAAGGTATAAGCTTTTGTGTGCACGCACACGTCTTCAGATAGAATGAAATGGAAATTAGCAGTACATACATATAGGTAGAGGGTGAGCAGTAAATTAGCATACACCATAATGAAGATGTTTAACAGACTCAAGGACCAAACAGGAATAACAAGCTTAGTTTATATGGTTACCATTTGGGTTTAATTCTGAGGGAAAACACAGTGAGGGAAATAAATACGTCAAAATTAGAGATTGATGGGCAGATGTATCCTTAATTGTGGAATGCTGAGAATAATTAACTGAGACCCTGTTGTTACTCTCCATCCATCTCCTCTCAAGCATGGATGTGACTTTACAGCATCTTCTTTGAAGTGGGGCACTTGGCTGTGTAGTTATTTATTTCCTTCACTATGTTCCCCCCGGAATTAAACCCAAACAAATGGTAACCATATAAACTAAGCTTGTTATTCCTGTTTGGTCCTTGAATCTGTTAAACATCTTCATTATGCTGTATGCTAATTTACTGCTCACCCTCTACATATATGCATGGGCTGCTAATTTCCATTTCATTCTATCTGAAGAAGTGTGCATGCACACGAAAGCTTATACTCTGAATAAAACTTTGTTAGTCTTAAAGGTGCCACTGGACTCAAACTCTGTTCTGCTGCTTCAGACCAGCATGGCTACCCGCCTGAATCTATCTTGCATTAACGCTGCCAGCTTTGCAGTATGTCCACCTGGCCTCTTGGGGGCAGCATTACACTGGCAAAGTGTGAAATGCTAACATTGTTAAAGCGACCAATGCTCACAGGTATGTATGTGAAGCAAAGGTTGAGTCCAGTGGCACCTTTAAGACCAACAACGTTTTATTTGGAGTGTAAGCTTTTGTGTGCATGCATGCTTCTTCAGATACATTGCAACAGAAGTCACCAACGATTACATATAGGTAGAGGGTGAGGACGGTGTTGCCAGGAATGTGTGAGATAAGCAAAGAACAGATAGTTCAGGAAAAGCAAAAACTGAAAAATACCAAAAAGAGGAGAGGGGAGTAGGGAGGTAGAGGAAAGGGGAATTCATAGAATCATAGAGTTGGAAGGGATCTCCAGGGTCATCTAGTCCAACCCATTGCACAATGCAGGAAATTCACAAATATCTCCCCCTCCACACCCACAGTGACCACTGTTCCATGTCCAGAAGTGACAAAAAACCTCCAGGATCTCTGGGCAAACTGGCCTGGAGAAAAATTGCTTCCTCAATTTCTGAATGTGCAAAATTTGGTAGGTAGAAGATCTTCACTTAGATGCTTTAGTAGCAAAGTTAAGCTCCCAGCGTACCTGGCAGGAGTCCACTCCCCCTTCTAGTATGCCGGCACAAATCATGTTGTCTGTGATGCGTCTGGGATAAGAGTTTGCACAACGCTGCCTGCTGATAATCCGAACGTTGGCACACTGCAGGACGTCTGGGAAAGATGCTGCAAGAGATTGCCTCCCATTTAAAAACTATGCTGTGTGATGTGGCTAGACAGCAAAGGAAAGGGGTAACTAGGAAGATAACTCCAATTAGTGGTTATTGAACAGTCACTGCATTTATCTCAGATACTTTTCAAGTTCTGCCTAGAAATGTCTCTTGCTTTCCATGAACCCGACTGTCTACACTTTGCTACCTTCCTCTCTCTATATATCTGCTGACTGAGATTTCACTTCATGCAACTGGTGAAGTCAACCCTCCCAGTAAATTTGTAAAGGTGCCACAAGACTATAGCCAAGTTCAGAATTTCATATCATGCCGTGATTTCACATTGGCACTAAGGCTACTTCCTCATGACGATGATTCCCTGTTTTGTTTTCATTGCAGAGGAATCTGAAGTAGCAATGGAGTTTCCACATGGGGGTATTGCTCATGGCATTCCCACACGTCCCCCCATCACTGCTGGAGTGCTTTGTGTCCCCTGTTGTTTTTATTAATACTAGGAACTATATTACTATAGAGTAGTGACACCATAGCGATATATCTGAATTATATGTCTAAAAACTGAATTATTAAAGGGGGCTTTTCTACACAGGCAGTAGACTTGCCCTGTACTGATTCACAAAGTTACTTGGACAATTTATTAGGGACTGTAGGTCTATACGGCTGTGTCCAGCTTGCTGAAACTAGGATCCTACTATAGAATTTTGCATCATTTAATGTGTCGTGTTAATGCTTATGCTTTGCTTCAGTTCTGTTTTTAGACTATTGCATTGCTTATTGAATGTCCGATCCGTCGATTGTATTGACTCACTCTGCCTATATGGATGAGAAAATCTCAGTAATTGGACTTAATATTAATGACTTGGTCTTGCTTTTGGAGAGGCAGGCTTTTACCTTTATTAAGCAAAGACTTATTGACATTGAGATACAAGAATTAAAAAGCCTTGCCCTCTGGCTGTTGTTCCCCAGTGCGTTGGGAGCTTTTATCTGGCCCTACCTTTCCTTTCAGAGGACGGCGGAAAACAGGAGGGCCTGGTGAGATCTTGTCCATGGGGTCGTGAAGAGTCGGACTCGACTGTGCGACTGAACAACAAAACCTTTCCTGAATATTTATCTTGTCTATATGATCCTCACCTTCATAGGGCATTCATGCTAGCGCGTTTTAATGTTCTCCCATGTATGGTGTTATATGGGAGATTTAAGAAAATTCCATATACAGACAGGCTGTGTCCATGTGGGATGAGTGAGAATGAAGATGACAATCATGTTATTTTGCATTGTAAATTCTATGATGACCTTCGTGATGTATTTTTAAAGCCTTTTTTGCTACCTTTGGAGGGTCGATCTGAGGACTGTAATACCTTTATACTTTTAGCTTCAAATAAGAGCGAAATCACTGAATCTGTAGCAAAATTCCTCTATTATGCTCCTAGGAGGAGATGTTCTTTTTGACCACAGATCCTATTGTAATGTATATAGATTCGTGCTGTTATGGCATTAAAGGTTTCATGATCATGACTCACTCTGCCTAACCCAGCTTAAGTCCAAGTGAGAAAGGTGGGCTATAAATAATGTAAATAGATATCTACTACTAATAAAAATATAATACTTTTAAAAAAAAACCATCAGGGATAATGGCAGACATACTGGGAAATGGCACCTTATGTAAATAATTGTACAGTGCAGGCGCCAGGCCCAAACTGCTGAAGTTTGGATTGAAATCTCTGTGTCGAAGCAACCTCTGGTAAGTCAAGAAACCTGTTCCTTTGGCCCTGACCTGGATAGCCCGGGCAAGCCTGATTTCGTCAGATCTCAGAAGCTAAGCAAGGTCAACTGTGGTTAGTACTTGGATGAGAGATGTCCTTGGAATACCAAGTTGGGAAGACAGGGGCAGGCTATTCTGCCACCTCTCTGAATATCCTCCAGGCCACCAGTAGGGGTCAGTCACCAGAGGTCAACGTGATGTCCGGGTGCGCATAAACACAAATACCAAAAAAGAAAAAGAAACCTGTTCATTTGCATTCGTACTTTGAGGAGAGCTGACAGTGCCCCATCCAGATACGAGGCACTGAGTTCCGGCATTACTGCATTGGACAGGTAATCTCAAGGGCCTTATGTTCCAGTCTATGGGGACAGGCGTTTCCAGTTTAAGCAGCATGATGTCGTTGTTCAGAGTGCGCCTGTCAAACCAGGGATGCTGAATGATCCTGACCACATTCCGGATCCGTTCTGCACCCTCCCGATAACGGAGGTTGTGTTCCCCCAGCCGGACAACCAAGTTTCTAGATGATGAGTGGGAGAAAGACAATAGGTCAGTGGGGGGCGAAGCAGTGGGCCCTGCTCCCCTGGCAGAGCATATACAAGGTCACAGATTCAGTCCTGGGCGATTCTGCATTGGCTTTTCCCTTCATTGTTTTAGCAAACCCATGTCGAAACAGAAATTCCCTTCTGCATTGCATGCTGCTTGCACTTTCTTTGATTATCAGATTTTATGGCACCCTCTACACGGCATGCCACTTTTGCTTTCTTTGATCATCGGGTTTTATGGTACCTTCTGCATAGATTTATGGCCATTCAGGGGTTACTTTGCAGTCAGTACGGCGTTGGCCGGGGGTATTTGAATGTGGTTTTGAGCTGCACCTTTTCCTCAGTGTTGAGAAAATGTGGAGCAAATGCCAGATGCAGAACCAGCCCCTGACTCCAGTTTAAAAAAAAAAATAAATTCATGGAGGATGAACCAGAAGGTGAGAATTCTGTCATGTTCAGTTGGTTAAAAATGTAGTATAAAATCTGAGCACAAGATGGTGCTGTCTGTCTGTCATAAGGGGTATCTAGCCTGTCCAGGATGGGGGAGGCAGAAAGACAGAGATGCTGCACCCACTAGCAAATGCAACCCGATGTGGCTTCTATTGATTCTTCTTCACTGGGTGCACCACATACAGTTTCTCTCCAACTTTATTCAGAAAATGACAGCTAAATTTTTCTTTACTTCTGCTCTCCATCTTGCAAAGGGACCCCAAGTGTTCCAAGTAGTGCTGGAGACAGATCTGAATTACTGCTGGTTTTTGTGGTTTCAAAGAGAGGACAACCAAGTCAGCAACATAACACAATGTTCCAGTTCAAGCCTGCAAAAAAATTTCTGCCATTGGGGCATTTTCTTTTGAATGAGCCTTCCAGTTTAGAGAAGATTTTTGGGGGAACTCCAAAACTCATTTGGCCAACACTCACTGGAGAAGACCCTGAGGCTGGGAAAGATTGAAGGTCAAAGAAGAAGGGGACGGCAAAGGATGAGATGGTTAGACAGGGTTATCAGGGCAACGAACATGAAATTAAGCAAACTCCGGAGCACGACAGAAGACAGGAGGGCCTGGTGTGATGTGGTCCCTGGGGTCGCGAAGAGTCGGATTCGACTGTGCGACTGAACAACCAAAGCTTGCTCGTTAATTTGTGATATCTTAGTCCAAGGACAAGGGTACTGGAAGGTTGCTGTTCTTGAACCCTATCTTGGGCTGCTCCCACATGGGGCTCAAGAATGCACCCCTGCCCTGAGAGCAGCAGCAAACCGTGTGGAGTGGGTGATGGAGGTGGTGTTTACACGCCTGGTCCCTGCACCATTCATGGTAGACACTGTCTCCCTTCCACTTTTCCCTTTGTCACATCTGTGTAAAAACACATTTTGAAAAGCTATTGGTCTCCCCCATTTCTCTGAGCCTGGCTCGGAGAAAAGAAGGGAGATGGAGACATGGAGGACGGGAGAGGTTTGGAAATCATTCCGCTCACTCTGGCAATTACCCACACTGGAAGACAGAGGCATTCCATCAATGGAATGGTGAAGTCTACATGACAGGCCCTTGTGCTTATGGGACTATACTATTGAGAATAAAGTCAGAAAGTCAAAAATTGGTTATACTGCCCTGACCTGGATAGCCCAGGCTAGCCTGATCTCGTCAGATCTCAGAAGCTAAGCAGGGCCGACCTTGGCAAGTATTTGGATGGGAGACCTCCAAGGAATACCAGAGCCAGGAGGCAGAGGCAGGACACCAAGCCACTTCTCTGAATGTCCTCCATGCCCCAGCAGGAGTCGCCAGAGGTCACCATGACTTCCTGGCACGGGCACACATACACAAATACAAAAAAAATATGATTATACTGTCTGGCAGGCAGGCAGGAAGACTTCATACTGTTTTTGTGTTAAGGGTTACATATTTGTTTGCTTACTTATTTTGTTTATACCCCACTTTTCTCCCCCGTGGAGACCCAAAGTGGCTTACAATATTCTCTCTGTCTTCATATTACCCTCACAACAACAGTATATAGTAGGTTAGGCTGAGAGCATGTGATTGGCCCAAGGTCACCCAGCAAGCTTCCTTGGCAAAGTGACGATTTGAACCTGGGTCTCCCAGGTCCTAGTCTGACACTCTAACCATGATACCACACTGGCTCTCATGTAGATATGTGCAGAGATAATCTTTTCAGATATTCTCAATCCAGTTGCCAAATGGTTCTAAGATAAGAGTTGTGTTTTGTGTCCCAGGTGCTGGCCAATAATTCCTTGTGACAGTCAAAATAGGTAAAAATGGGTACATCAAAATATACATGTCTATTTCCACAGTTCTGGTTGTGGGGGGAAGATAGGATTTTTTTTTTTTTGGCAGAAATCTTCAAAACCAGTTTGACTGAAGAGAGACAGATCTATGGTATTGCAATGGCAGTTCTGCCATGTTGCTTCCAGTACCCCCGAAAACTGTCATGACCAGCACTTTGGGTTATAGCTCAGTGAAAGAGGAACTGGAGGTAGTCTCCAATTCAAGCCCTGCTGTCTCCTATGAAAAAGATCTCTAAATAAGTAAGTGCTGGCTCAGACACCACAGAGCGGCTGCCAGTCAGAGTAGAAAATACTGAGTCTGATGGTCTGAAGGTAACGTCATCCGTTCAACGTCCCCAGTTCTAGCTCATTCTCAAACTCACCCGCTATAACAGTGTGCAGCAGTCACAACCCAGCTTGGATTAATCAACGTTCCTCCACAGACGTATTGGCCAGTCACATAAGCTTGCCAGGGCTGAGAATGAGGATTGCAGGGATACCCTCCAATTATCCGTCCTTCATCTTCCTGGGAGTGCACTGCAAAGCACTCGGTTAATTAATACGTGATCTGAGACTGTCAAACAAGCCTTTCCCTCCATTTCCTGTGAGGTCCTTATCACGTTCCTTAGTTTAGTCCCATCCTGTTCTGTATTCATCCCCTGCCTTCCATCCCATGAATTCAATAGCCGTTTTGGTCAAGCAGGTATTCCAAAGATGCCCTTGCTAAAGAGGGGGCGGGAAGAGAAGCAGCAAAAGGCAAGGCCTACTTCTGACCACTTATTCCTGTCTCAGGGAAAGGAAGAGAGGCTTCTCCTGTGCTCCAAGTGAGGACTTTCTGAGGCAAGTCCACACTGAAGGTATTGTAAAGCAAAGAAGAAGAAGAGCCAGGGGCTCACTTTAACGGGCCTTATTTCTAGTTCAGTCATAACACAAAACCCTGGTTTATATGGTCTATGGTTAGGTTGTGAAAACCAGGATACGCCTCACAGATGAACATTCAAACCTTGGTTGGTTGGTCTTCATAAATGCTGGCTACCTTGACCTCTGTATAGTCTACAAGGGTATCCCCTGAGAGTAAGGCAGGATCAGGCCAGGGTGTCTGTATTCGTACATCATATGAAACCATAGCTAAGACTAGCTATGGTTAATAAGCTCTGACCTGGATGGTCCAGGACCTGGATGGTCCAGGACAGGTTGGGTCTAGTTAGTGCTTGGATGGGAGAACTCCAGGGTCAGTACACAGAAGTGGGCAATGGCAAACCACCTCTGAACAATGTTTGCCTTGGAAATCCCATGAGGTGTTACTATAAGTTGGCTGTGACTTGACAGCACTTTCCACCACCATTTGGTTAATAAACAACATCAGTTCCTGATTGAACAATAGGCTTGCCATTTGCCTGCTGACAGAAGACAAACCCCTGCCTTGCCTTTGATTATTCGAAGAGTGGGAGGGGGGAAAAGGAGGGAACAGTGTTGATAGTGATGCTCCAGGAATTCTCCCAAACTCTTAGGTAAAGACCATAAAGACTGGTGGAATTCCTAGAGCGTCATCTGTAAGTGACATCATATTGCCGAAACTTTCATGCAGAAGTGATGCCACATGCTCTGTAGTGTTCTAGGGATTTCCACAGTCTCTATGGTCTTCACCATAGAGTTTGGTAAAATTCCTAGAGTGTCCTGGAGGATGTAACACATCACCTAAAACCCCACCTTTCCCAGACACCACACCAAAAATATCCAGGGATTTGTTGGCGCAGGGCAGACAGACTGATCCATAGGTAGTGAAGTGGCCTCATTTCAGACAATCGCATTAACCACAGTTTGACTTAAACCATGGTTTTGCACAGTGTCTGAACTGAGCCATTGCTGTAATGGCTGTCAAGTGAGTTGATCTTTCCTCTAGGTAGAGAGAGGCTTTGGTCTTCATGTCTTTACATATGTGCCTTCCAGGGCATGTAGAAGACCATTGTGGAAGGATCCTGGACTGGATGGACCGCTGATCTGATTCACTGGGGCTTTTCTTGGGTTCTTTTGCCCTGTTAGGTACGCTACGTGCTGGCAAGTCACAACCAACTTCTGGCAATTCTAGCAAGGAACTTCCAAGGCAAGTGAGAAGCAAAGGTGGTTTGCCATTGCTTTCCTCTGCAGAGTACCTTGGAGGTTTCCCATCCAAGCACCAACCCTGCTTAGCTTCCAAGATTTGACGATATTAGGCTATACCATGCTGCCTTCCCCCCCTTGCCTTCATCAATATACCCACCAGCAGACACTAGAAGTAATGTGATGACCAGCCGTTCCATGTCTATGATTGTAACAGGAAACATGCACCGTAGCTGGAGACTTCTTCAGGACCTTTTCTGCAGATGGGGGGAAATAAATATTTGTTAGCAAATGGTATCTGAACTCCAAAATTATATCTACATTGGACTTCATTGGGACCAAAGTTTGCCAAAGCTAAAATCCATGTGATGGGTTATTCTCATGTCGTCAACTCAGGTACAGCTCCACTTGTGATATAAACCCCAAATTTATCCAGGTAGTGGTACCTGGTTTTAACTGCAAAGTGAATGTGCATGACATTTTTTTATAAAGAAATATACATGTACTTGCAGGAAGCCAACAATATTATTTAGTGTTCTTTTGAGATGTTCCATTCAGCAGCAAGGAGACAAAGCAAGGCAGAATTGTCTTTTCTAAACCCATATCCCTCCTGTGTCTTACCTCAGGGGTCCCCAACATTTTTGAGGAATTCTGGAAAGGTAACCAAAAAGGTTCAGACAGAGAAAAAGAAACTAAAATATAGCTATGCACGTAAGAGCTAATGTACAAACTATCATCTATAATTTGATTATACATCCAAAAGCGCTAAAATATCATTTAAAAACTACAGTCCTATGGTTCTGCATATGAGTACCTAATCCTAATATAAAGACAAATGTCCAATCATATAAATACAGGTTAAAAGGTACAAATTATATCCATATACAAAAACTAATACCAAACACGTTTCAGCTAAAAGCCTTCCTCAGTGGTAAAATTCAAACTGAGCGCTCCATAAATTTAACAAAAATATACATAAAACACATCATACACAGAATGGACCTAAAATGAAAGGGGGAACATGGGAGAAAAATAATCATGTCTGTTAAGCAACTTTTTTAAAAAAATGTAAGTATTTTGAAATATGTGGAACTGGGATAACTACCATACTTACACTATGTTCACCCGTAGAGTAAGTGGTGATAAATATTCTTGAGATGCAACATGGGCAACTTATCAAGATGTACAATATTTTATATGCCCATGGATCTAAAATACACATAAAGCATATGACAACTGCAAATTTACAAGTCTCCTAAATTTTAGAAACAATAGTATGTACCTAACAACAACAGTAACAACAAAAACCCTAAATGGTGCAATATTTTCCTACTTAGGCCCAATCTGCAGTGCTCAAAGCTCCAATGGAATGCTCAGGTACAAATAGAAAAGCATCAGCACTATTGTAGTCCACCTCCCTGAATTTATGGGAAAGGTGGGGAAAATGTGATACAACAGAAGAAAGAGGGGGGAAATGATGACACAGCGGCTTACTTGAATTCCTCCATCCAGAAAGCAGCCAAGTCCATCAGACACACAGCCAGTCAATTTCTCCATTTAAATCTCTTGGAACCAGAGTATCCAATGTGAAGATGTAGAAGGACTCCCTTTTCTTCAAAAGTTGAATTTGTTGTTGAGAGTGCACTTGCGGCTTTTCTATGGTTAGAAGCCACTTTGTGGCAGAAGAATGGCGCGGTCTTCAGGAAGGGAAGTGGCACGTATGTTCGCCCATGTATTTTGGATATTCATACTTTAATCAATAGCAGTTACCATGCCCTGACCTGGATAGTCCAGGCAAGCCCAATCTTGTCAGATCTTGGAAGCTAAGCTGTGTTGACTCTAGCAAGTACTTGGATGGGAGACCTCCTTGAAAGGCGAGGGGTGGGGGCAGGCATTATTCAGCCACCTCTCTGAATATCCTCCAGGCCTCTAGTAGCGGTCAGTCACCAGAGGTCGCCATGACTTCCAGGTGCACACAGACTCACACACACACACACACACACATATACACATATGAAAAATATAAAAAAATACCAACCCCCCCCTCCCAGTTACCATATTATTTCTATAGTATTACTCTTATCCCGGTCACACAGAAGGTTTTGGCCCGGGAGAGGGACGGATCGGGGGTGCAGCAAACGGGCACGATCTCACCGCAACATCTGGGAAGCGGCGCGCACCTGTCCCCGATTCGGCCCTTCAGGCCGAAAACCCGCAGTAAAAAAGAACCACCCCCAGAGGAGGACTTACCGGGAACGCCGCATCAAGCGTGGCCGTGGGATCGCCGCCGCGCCTGTCGTCCGGAGCAATCCAGGCTCCCGGCCGAACTGCGTATGCGCACACATGCGCAGTTCGGCTGCCTCGCTCCCCTTTCAGTGGCTTTCCCCCCCATCTTATCC